TTTTCTTCTTTTTCATTCTTCTTCTTCTTTTTTTCCCTTTCTTCTTTTAAACCCTTCTTCTTCTTTTTTTTCATTCTTCTTTTCTTCTTTTCATTTTTTCTTTTCATTTTTTTCTTTTCTTTTCATTTTCTTTTCATTCTTTTTTCTTCCTTTCATTCTTCTTCTTTTTCTTTTCATTCTTTTTTCTTTTCATTCTTCTTTTCATTCTTCTTCTTTTTCTTTTCATTCTTCTTCTTCTTCTTTTCTTTCTTTTTTTCTTTTCTTCTCATTTTCTTTTAATTCTTTTTTTTCATTCTTTTTCTCATTCTTCTTTTCATTCTTCTTCTTCTTCTTTTCATTCTTTTCTTTTTTTTCATTCTTTTCTTCTTCTTTTCATTTTTCTTCTTTTTTTTTCTTCTTCTTTTTTTCATTCTTCTTTTCTTTTCTTCTTTTTCCCTTCTTTTATTCTTCTTCTTCTTCTTTTCATTTTTTTCTTTTTCATTCTTTTTTTCATTCTTCTTTTCTTTTTTTTCATTCTTTTTTCTTCTTCTTTTCATTCTTCTTTTCATTTTCTTCTTCTTCTTTTCATTCTTCTTTTTTTTTTTCATTCTTTTTTTTCATTCTTCTTCTTCTTTTTTTCATTCTTTTCTTCTTTTTTTCCCTTTTCTTCTTTTCATTCTTCTTCTTTCTTCTTTTCATTCTTCTTCTTCTTCTTTTCTTTCCCTTCTTTTCTTTTTCTTCTCTTTCTTTTTTTTCATTCTTTTTTCCTTTTTAATTCTTCTTCTTTCTTTTCATTTTTCGTTTCATTCTTTTTTCTTCTTCTTTTCTTTTCTTTTTTCTTTTTCTTTTCATTTTTTTTTATTCTTTTCTTATTTTTTTTCATTTTTCTTCTTCTTTTTTCTTTCTTCTTCTTCTTCTTTTAAAATTTCTTTTCATTCTTCTTTTTCCCTTTTTTTTCATTCTTCTTTTCATTCTTCTTCTTTTCTTTTCATTCTTCTTCTTTTCATTCTTCTTTTATTTTTTCTTTCTTTCTTCTTCTTCTTCTTTCATTCTTCTTTTCATTCTTTCATTCTTCTTTTCATTCTTCTTTTCATTCTTCTTCTCATTCTTTTTTTTCATTCTTTTCTTTTCTTTTCATTTTCTTCTTCTTTTCATTCTTCTTCTTCTTTTTTTCTTCTTTTTTTATTCTTCTTCTTCTTCTTTTATTTTCTTTTCATTCTTCTTCTTCTTCTTTTCATTTTCTTTTCTTCTTTTCATTCTTCTTCTTTTCATTCTTCCTTTCATTCTTCTCATTTTCTTCTTCTTCTTTTTTCATTCTTCTTTTCTTCTTTTCATTCTTCTTTTCTTTCTTCTTCTTCTTCTTTCTTTTTATTCTTTTTTCATTTTTTCCTTCTTTTCTTTTCTTTTCTTTCATTCTTCTTTTCATTCTTCTTCTTCTTCTTTTCATTCTTCTTCTTTTCTTTTTTCTTCTTTTTTTTTCTTTTCATTCTTCTTCTTCGTCTCCCCCCCTGCTCCCCAAATGAGTGAAGTGTGCGGTGTTTCAAAGATGACGGCATCATTGCATGTCTCCTGATGCAGTTTATTTCTTTCCCCGCAGACTAAGGGGCTTTTAAAATTAAAAAGGTCAGTGTTTGCACAATAAAAAAGGCTTCTGAAGCTAGAAACCCTTTTAATAATTTAAATTCTTATTCTTATTGTCTGCTGCCCGGCCCAGTATAAATTTTCTTTTTGTTATCCCTTTCCCAAAACCACTCTCGAAAAAGTCATGATATTTTGCTGTGTATAGCCTTATAGGCCAATGGTAAATAAAAGTCATTTTTGTTATAGTGTGTATACCCTTATAACCCGCTGTCTTTACAACTTTAAAATTCCATTTTACCCCTATCGGCCACTTTCTGGATCCATTTGCTGTAGCCCATCCCCACACTGTCCCACGGGCCCTGTACCCCCTTCTCATACTGCTGCAGACCCATCCTCTGCCATGTGCATCTTTAGTCAGTCTGGCTCACCGCTGCTGGCGTTCCAGTTTTAAACCTACGGCCTAGTGTATGGACTTCCGATACTGCTGCCTCCCACCGCCACCCTCGCCATGTGCCTCTTCGTTCTGCTCACGCTGCTGAGGCTTCAGCTTTTTAACCTTAGGCCTGTTGTTGTATGGCTTCCGAATACTGCTGCCTCCCAACGCCACACCTGAGCCATGGGCCTCTTGTCGTCTGCTCACAGATGCTGACGGCTTCCCGCTTTTTAAATACTAGTCCTGTGTATGTCATTCAGAATAATGCTGCTATACACCGCCAACCCTGCGCCATGTTACACGATTTCGGGTCTCCTCCACACTGACTGCAGGTCCATTACTGATTAATGGCCCCACGCTGTACCGGCTCCTCCATGGAACGTGTGGTCTTCAGCGGGTTTGCATCACTTAACGGACAAAATCGATGGACAAATGCTGGGTACGTTCAGAGATGTTGTGAGCATTAAGCCAGACACACTATGGGCAGCACTGAACCTGTTTAATTACTAGCTCATGCATCGGCTGAACCAAAAAACAGTCTCCTACCACAAAATTCGAACCCTGACCTGCCCAGGGTTCTCCGTAAAAACTTTTTTAAGATTGCACGGTGGAGTAGCAAGTAGAGTACGTTATCGGAATTAATTAGACCAAAAACGCCACACCAAAAAGAGTGGCCATTTCCCAACACTTTATTCCAGAAAGAGGAACAACACAGTTTCATATACCGGCCCGTTAGTCGTTGCTCGTCTGCCACATTCAGCTCGATTGAAAGACGCAAGGCTGCAACTTTCCTGTGGTCTCTGACCGTCGATATACCTTTTAAGTGTCAGCTTTGAAGCTATATTCCCTCAGGAGCACTGACACTGGTTGCCTTCCGTCAACATGCCTTTAAGTTTCGAGTTTTCAACCATATTTCCCCACAGAAGCAAACTCTTGGGGTAATCCCAGAAGCTGCTCAGCGGGTCAGGGCAATAAAGCTCCCGGTTCGCAGGTTTGTTCCGTCTTATGGTACAATGGAAGTACGACGGTATATGATTCTTCTTCGCACCCACGGCATTACCTCATAAAATTTCTGCATTGCATCTGCAAACACAACGCTGAACTTTCCCGATCGCCACTCAGCCATTGGACTCTTGATAGTTTTGTCTCCCCACACTGCTGCTGGGGGACTTTTTAACCTAGCCTGTGTAGGCCTTCAATTGAATAGCTGCTTCCGCTCCGCCACTCTGCCATTGGACTCTTGATAGTCGTCTCCCCACGCTGATGCTGGGGGGACTTTTTAAACATAGGCCATCTGTATGGCCTTTAATTGAAGCTGCTTACGCTCTGCCACTCTGCCATGGGCCTCTTTGGTATCCCAGAAGCTGCTCAGCGGGTCAGGGCAATAAAGCTCCCGGTTCAGCAGGTTGTTCCGTCTTATGGATGAAGTACGACGGTATATGATCTTCTTTCGCACCCACGGCAATCACCTCATTAGAATCTCTGCATTGCATCTGCAATCACAACCGCTGACTTCCCGGATCGCCACTCAGCATCCATTGGACTCTTGATAGTCGTCTCCCCACACTGCTGCTGGGGGGACTTTTTAACCTAGGCCTGTGTATGGCCTTCAATTGAAGCTGCTTCCGCTCCGCCACTCTGCCATTGGACTCTTCATAGTCGTCTCCCCACGCTGCTGCTGGGGGGACTTTTTAAACCTAGGCCTGTGTATGGCCTTCAATTGAAGCTGCTTCTGCTCCGCCACTCTGCCATTGGGTCTTGATAGTCGTCCTCCCCCACACTGCTGCTGGGGGGACTTTTTAACATAGGCCTCTGTATGGCCTTCAATTTAGCTACTCTACGCTTCGCCACTCTGCCATGGGCCCCTGTACCATCCTCTTGCTGCTTGCCAGGTCCAGAGTGTGTCATGGGTCCCTGTACGCCTCCCATTGCTGCTGACTTCATCGCCAGACTCTGCCATGTGCCACTTTCAGGTCTCCTTACACTGTTGGTGGGTTCCATTTTGTGATAGGGTGCTGTATGGCCTTCCATTGCTGCTGCCTCAACGCCACCCCACTGCGCCATGTGCCTCTGTCGTCTGCTCACGCTGCTGACGGCTTCCGCTTTTTAACCGAGGCCTGTGTATGGCTTCAGAATAATGCTGCCTACACCGCCACCCTGCGCCATGTGCCTCTGTCGTCTGCTCACGCTGCTGCCAGGTCCATACTGATTCATGGCCCCCTGTCCGGCTCTTCCTCATGAACGTGGTTCAGCGGGTTTTGCATCACTTAACGGCAAATCGTTGACAAACGCTGGGACGTTCAGTGTTGTGCGCATTAAGCCAGACACCAAAGGGCAGCACAGACCTGTTATTACTCGCTCAAAGCATGGCTGAACAAAACCAGTCTCTACCACAAATTGGACCCAGACCTGCCCAGGGTCTCGTAAGTAGATTGCACGGAGGAGTAGAGTTCGTTATTGGAATTAACTGTGAGGGACTTTTAAACCTAGGCTGTGTATGGCCTTCAATTGAAGCTGCTTCTGCTCCGCCACTCTGCCATTGGACTCTTGATAGTCGTCTCTCCCGCTGCTGCTGCTGGGGGGGGACTTTTTAACATAGGCCTCTGTATGGCCTTCAATTTTAGCTGCTTACGCTCCGCCACTCTGCCATGGGCCCCTGTACCGCCTCCTCATGCTGCTGCCAGGCCCGTAATCTGCCATGGGCCCCCGTACCGACTCCTCATGCTGCTGCCAGGCCCGTAATCTGTCATGGGCCCCTGTACCGCCTCCTCATGCTGCTGCCAGGTCCAGAGTGTGTCATGGGTCCCCTGTACGGCCTCCCATTGCTGCTGTCTCCATCGCCACACTCTGCCATGTGCCACTTTCAGGTCTCCTCACACTGCTGGTGGGTTCCATTTTGTCATAGGGTGCTGTATGGCCTCCCATTGCTGCTGCCTCCACCGCCACACTGTGGCTCCACACTCTGGTTTTGGCCCCGTTACTGCCCAAATGAGTGAAGTGTGCGGTGATTCTAAGATCGACGGCACTCATCTGCATGTCATACTGACTGACAGTATTATTTCTCTTCCCCAGCAGACTCCAAGGGCATTTAAATTAAAGGTACAGTGTTCTGCACTAATATAAAGGCTCTCTGAAGCCTAGAAACACCCTTTTTATACGTTAAATTCGCAGCGATATATATTCGGCTCGAAGCGAATTTATTTGGCGAATTCGGCGAATCAGCCGAACCGAATTTTTGAATAATTCGCTCATCTCTACTGAGGATCCCAAGAGAGCTCTCAAAGTACAAAAGAAAAAAAAAACGACAAGCAGCTATATTTGCAAATGTTCATGATTTGCCTAAATGTAATCACCCCTTCATAATGAAAAGTAAAAACAAATCTTAACACCTGAACGTAGTTGTTTTGCAACTTTGACATTAGTTAAACAGCACATATTATTGCCACTACAGCATACTTAGTGTATCCAGGTAAATGATACCTTGTTTTTTTCAGGACAAATTGGGAATTTAGAGAAATTCCAGTAAGGGTGCACTAAACCCAGGCACCAAACCCAGCGTGACCTAAAACATAGCTTTTACTCAAAAACTATCCAAAACCCATTATGTTAGAAATGGAAGGAAGTCATCCAAAATGGCTTATAGAGCAATGCAGAAATAGTGCATGAATCCATAACGTGGCAAAAATATACAACTGCCTTTACAAAAAGATAGCAACCAGATAGCAAATATGTATTTAGCTGCCATTGGTCAGTCTTTCTGTTTGAGTGGAGATGTGGTTAAGATAGAGTCAGTATCCTGCCCACATACCAAAACCCAAAGTGCCCTTCCAGCCTGGTAAAAAATATACTCTTATCAATCCACTATCTCCACCAGTCCACAAGAATCTCCCTTATTCTCCTGCAAATAAATCCACTTTGCACCAATAAACTATGTGCCATAGAATAAAAAAATTAAAACCACAAAAATCTCTTAATCCAACATGTTTCACATTAAAGGAAGGCTTCATCAGGGATGTATAGTGTATAAAGTGTGTTTTTAAAGAAAGCACATGGCAAATGGTGGCTTCTTGCAGTACAGATATATGTATAATATAGGATATCAATGTAGCTATGGCCTCCCATATCCGCATGTAACGTCATATGTGCATCATGATGTCATTTTGTGTCATGAAGTAAATATACTTTGTGTGTCATGATGTCACATTCATCATAATGTAAAATAACCATCTAAACTCCAGAACAACTCCAAATAATGTTCTTATGCATAATCTATACAATTCAATACAATCCCTATGTGGGTTTGTCGCGCTCAGGTTGCTAGAAAGTATATTATGCCATCCTATCTATCTAAAATAGGGGAAACTCATACTACAAGCCATATTTGCCATTACCAAGACTTCCTAAAACTTACACAAGCATATATGTTCCAAACTACACTCACCGGCCTCTTTATTAGGTACACCTGTTCATTTGCTTGGTAACACAAATTGCTAATCAGCCAATTACAGGGCACACCTCAATACATTTAAGCATCTAGACGTGGTGAAGACAACTTACTGATGTTCAAACCGAGCATCAGAATGGGGAATAAAGGGGATTTAAGTGACTTTGAATGTGGTATGGTTGTTGGTGCCATATGGACTGGTCTAAGTATTTCCAAAACTGCTGATCTACTGGGATTTTCACGCACATCCATCTCTAGGGTTTACAGAGAATGGTCCAAAAAAGAGAAAGAATCCAGTGATTGGCAGTTGTGAGGATGAAAATGCCTTGTTGATGTCAGAGGTCAGAGGACAATGAGCAGGTTCAAGATGATAGGAAGGAAACAGTAACTCAAAAACCTACTTGTTACAACCAAGGTATGCAGAATATACAACGTGTCGAACCTGGAAGCAGAAGACCACACTGGGTGCCACTCCTGACAGCTAAGAACAGGAAACAGAGGCTACAACTTGCACAGGCTCACCAAAAATGGAAAATAGAAGACTGGAAAAACATTACCTGGTCAAATGAGTCTCAATTTCAGCTGCAACATTCAGATGGTAGGATCATAATTTGGCGTAAACAACATGAAAGCATAGATTCATTCTGCCTTGTATCAATGGTTTAGGCTGGTGGTGTAATTGTGTGGGGGACATTTTCTTGGCGCACTTTGTTCCCCTTAGCTACAATTGAGCATTGTTTAAATGCCACAGCCTACCTGAGTATTGGTGCTGTCCATCTCTTTATGACTACAATGTACCCATCTTCTGATGGCTACTTTCAGTAGGATAATGCACCATGCACACAAAACTCAAATCATCTCAAACTGGTTTCTTGGACATGACAATGAGCTGTTTCTACTCCAATGGCCTCCACAGTCACCAATCCAATAGAGCACCTTTGGGATGTGGTGGAATAGGAGATTTGCATCATGAATGTGCAGCTGACAAATTTGCAGCAACTATGTGATGTCATCATGTCAATATAGACCAAAATCTCTGAAGAATGTTTCCAACACCTTGTTGAATCTATGCTAAAAAGAATTAAGATGGTTCTGAAAGCAAAAAGGGGCCCTTTTAGGAAGGTGTACCCAATAAAGTGGCTGGTGAGTGTATATTTCTGCTATATAGGGGCTCTTCAGACACTATGTCACACTCCACAATACCAAGCTGTTTACTAATGGTATAAATGTAAATCCTTCATTATGACCATATGGTGACCTGTAACTCCATTTTGCCTCAGTTTTCAGCAGACTTTTATCTTGGTCCCCCTTCCTGAGACCTATTTTAACTTCCCGTATGACCCAAATGGTGGTAATTTGGTAAAAGGTAATGGATATCGCCTTTTTTTTTTTTTTTTTTTTTTTTTAATCAAAGGAAAACTTGCACAAAATAGTTATATACATTATATTGCTAAAAGTATTGGGATGCCTGCCTTTACATGCACATGAACTTTTTTGGCATCCCAGTCTTAATCCGTAGGGTTCAATATTGAGTTGGCCCACCCTTTGCAGGTATAACAGCTTCAACTCTTCTTGGAAGGTTGTTCACAAGGTTTAGGAGTGTGTCTATGGGGATGTTTGACCATTCTTCCAGAAGCGCATTTGTGAGGTCAGGCACTGATGTCAGATGAGACGGCCTGGCTCACAGTCTCTGCTCTAATTCATCCCAAAGGGTTTCTGTCGGGTTAAGGTCAAAACTCTGTGCAGACCAGTCAAGTTCCTCCTCCTCAAACTCGCTCATCCATATCTTTATGGACTTTGCTTTGTGTTCTGGTGAGCAGTCATGTTGGAACAGGAAGGGGCCATCCACAAATTGTTCTCACAGTGGCCATGGAGGTGATTGGAACACCTGAACCCAATGATTTTGAGGAGGGGTGTCCCGATACTTTTGGCAATACAGTGTGTGTGTATATATATATATATATATATATATATATATATATATATATATAATATATATACACACTTCTTTTTCTTAGCTGTATATTTCTTACTATTGCCATAACCACCCACCAAAGAACAACCCCCAAAAATGCTCCCACTCCTGATGATTTCAGTGATATCACATATTATGTGTATATTATTTGTTAAATGTACCCCATAGTAGGGCCCAGAAATAATAGTGTGCATTTTGCTTTTTTATTCTACTTAAAACACCCTCTGACAATGACTTTTGACCCTAACCTTGAGCCTAACTCTAACCCTGACACTGATCTAGATCAAATCCCGATGTAGCTAATTTATTTATTTATTTATTTTTACACACACTTTTTGTTTACATTTTCTCAGGAAAAAAGAGATACAACATTTACTTTTTCTCCAATCACTAGGAGAACAAAACACAGGGGCGGGCTGTACAGTGACTGATTATTGTGATAACCAATTATAGGCTATCAGGTGATCAGGAACTGGGTCTCCCACCTTCCAGACATTAGTACACAACCCAGGGCTCTTGATGAGAGCTCAGTCTCTGTGCTGGGAGTGCGTTATGTGCTGCACTCTCCACACAAACACAGTGGTGCCTA